TCTCGTTTTAGTTTTAAATTTGCATTTCCCTCATAATTAGTAATGTTGAGCATTTTCTCATGTTTGTTGGCCATTTGTACATCTTCCTTTAAAAAACAGCTGTTCGGCCAAGCACAGCGGCTCACGCCTGTAGTCCTAACACTGTGGTAGGCTGAAGAGGGAGAATTGTTTGAGCTCAGGAGTTTGAGACGTGCCTGAGTAAGAGTGAGACTCTGACTCATAAAAAAATGAAAAATCCAGCCGGCTGCCATGGCTTGCCTATAATCCCAGCAGCTTCCAGAGGCTGAGGGCAGCGGGATGCCTACAGTCCAAGTCTGAGGTTGCAGCGAGATACAACGTCACTGCACTCTGCTCAAGGCATAGGGTAGAGAGGAAAAAAAAAAAAGAAAAAGAAAAATAGCTGTTCATGTCTTTTGTCCACTTTTAATGAGGTTATTAGGTTTTTTTTCTTACTGATTTGAATTCCTTGTAGATCCTGGATATCAGTCTTTTGTAGAATGTATAGTTTGCAAATATTTTCTCCCATTTTATAGGTTGCCTATTTGCTCTGATTATTATTTATTTTGTTGTATAAAAACCCTTTAATTTAATTAAGTCCCTTTTATTTATCTTTGTTTTTGTTGTGTTTTGGGTCTTCCTCATAAATTCTTTGCCTTGGCCAATGTCCAGTAGAGTTTTTTCTAAGTTTTCTTTTAGAATTTTTATGGTTTCATTTAGGTCTTACATTAAGGTCTTTCCTCCACCTTGAGTTTATTTTTGTGTGCAGTCAGAGATAGGGATCCAGTTTCACTCTGCATGTGGCTCTCCAATTTCCCCTGCACCATTTACTGAATACGGCACTCTCTCCCCAAGGTATGCTTTTGTCTGTTTTGTTGAAGATCAGTTGGTTATAGGTAAATGGTTTTATTTCTAGGTTCTCTATTCTATTCCACTAATCCATTTGTCTACATTTATGCTAATACCATGCTATTTTGGTTACTACCACCTTATACTATATAATTTGAAGTCAAGTAATGTGATTCCTCTGATTTGCTCTTTTTGCTTATGATTGCTTTGGCTAATCAATCTCTTTTTTGATTTCATGTGAAATTTAAGATTTTTTCCTAATTCTATAGAAAATGGCATTAGTATATTTTTTAGTTAATTCTTACCAGTTCTAAATAAGTAAAAATTAAATTCCTGTTTGATCCACAGGCACAACTTTTATTGTGAATAGATGACTTTCAAAAATTTAGAATATTAACTTATAAAACATACTACATAAAGATGTAATCTGGAATTACATTAAGAAGCTGACTAAAGGCTCAGCGCCCATAGCTCAACCGGCTAAGGCGCCAGCCACGTACACCTAAGGTGGTGGGTTCGAATCCCCAGCCCGGACCCGCCAAACAACAATGACG